AATAGTATAATTAGTAGTAATGGTTGTAGTAGGCATTAAAGGGATGGTCCACTACGATATAATATATAAACTTTAGTTGATGTGAGCTGTGTGAACATGAACAACATCTCTGAATGTAAAATGCTCAAAGTTCAATGCAAAAGGAGACACTGGCTTTTACAGAGTTAGCTAAGCAAAGTCTACAACGAACAAACTTTGGGAAGAACAAAAAAAATACATCCAGGCTAGTGAGATCACAAATGCTACATTTACCATGCCCAAACACCCCACGCAGTAAAAGGGCATGGCAAGAGACGCTGTAATGTTATAGCAGAGAAAGATAAAATGGCGTCCAAATGCTGCTATTTCCACAGAGCTTGCTCTGTTTCTGTATTTGGGCTTCGAAAGGACACGACACAAAGAGAGAAGTGCTTACAATTTGATTTTAATTATGTTCCAGAGAATTATAAATATATATATATCTAGCATTTCACAAATGACTTCCAGAAACTCTCCCAGTTCAGTGCTGGATCTGGCTAACAACTCCTCAAAGGAGCAGCCTTGAAGGGCATCTGCTGCATAAACCATAAATTGGTGGTTCATTCCGCTGTGGTGAGCCATGTCATATAAAAGGACTAAGCCGAAGGAAAATGAATGAATGAATAATACTAATTTGAAAAAAAAAAACATATACATTGTTATAAATAATTAGAACATTGCTAAAATGACAAATTTTTAGTTTAATAACCGCTCGACCCACAAAAACTCATAAAAATATCATAAAAGTACCTTTACATAAAGTTATTAGAGTTTTCACTTTACTTTCTTTAAATTAGAAACAGTCTTGGTGAGCATAAACGAGGAGAACAATGAGCTACGCTATTTAAAGCATTTCAGTAATCTGAGTAATCGCACGTTTCCTGTCTCGAGGAAACATGTTGCAATCACATGACTTTGCAGCTATTTGCCGTCTTCTGTCCACACCCTCCTAGCATGACTCTCAGCAGACTCTCTATGTATATTTCCCAACGACTGTTTGACACTGTGAACCAATCGCTGTCCTCCAGAAAGCCTTCATATGCTGGCCTGATTAGTATGTGGCCATGCTGTATCCCACTTACCCCTCGTTTCCTGGCATTTGAAATGTAATCCAGAGCTTTACTGGAGAATGTGAGAGCTGGAGAGGCTGAGACAGTCACACACAGCGCTAAAGCCACCACATGAATAACGTACATGTTTAAAGATGTTATAGCAACGTTTTGATTCACTTTCTCTAATCATGTCACAGAAAGTTTGTTAAAAAATAAAATGACCATCTAATCACATTTCCAGTTTGATTTCCAAGTTCAAATGTCAACACTTCAACGCTGGAACAAAAAAATTGTAATTTAAATGTCACAAAATAAGTTACATTTACATCAGGAAAGCCATTCCGTTTAAAAAAATTGCCAGTCATTAGGAAAAAGCAATACCGAGAGGAGTGTTTGGAGTGTATATGGACTTTACCAGTATCCCTCACCCTATTCCACATATATAATCCTTGCTGAAGAGAGGTTACACGAGGAAACACACACAGAGCATTATGTTCTAATATACAACCAGCCCAAATCCTTCCTCTCTCCTGCGCAACTACACCCACAAGTAATAACAGGCTTTAAGAGCGCTTGCGGAAAGCATTTAGTAAAACGTTTAGCAAATCCGTAATATGCCAGCTGGGTCTTGACCAAAAGCAGCAGCGAGTTCTACATCTGGTGTCGGAATCCAGTGTAATGAAAGCGATGTTGCTTATTTACAGTCTAGAAAGGCTTTTGCTATATTATATCTCATATCAAGAGCAAATGAACCATGTACTCAGATGTGGGTCTGAACCTACTGTACCATACCAGAACATTGCTGTTTACACGTTAGCAACCACATACTTTGACCAGATTAAATCTGCCTTTGGAGCTCTTCCTGTGTGGCTATTTGTTTCAAGTAAACAAACATTTGCACTGACCAGAGCGCTAATATTAGTTTTCACTTGGTACTTTGTAGCTGTCTAATCCAGGGTTTCACAACTGTTCCTGGAGAAACACCAACACCATTTTATAACCATTACAAATTAAACATCAGAATCAACTCACTGACTCGTTTGTAGAGATTCCAAGACCAGAAATGGAGATTTTAGGTTAAGGAGATCCTAAATCTGTGCTGTTGGAGATGGTGTGCCTCAAGAAGCAGGGCTGGGAATCCCAATCCCAAATAGCTGTCTCAAATTATTTTCACATTCTGGATACAGCATTTATTTCAAAGGTCAGGTAAGTTCTAATTCTAATTCAACACAATTCATCAAAATCCCATAATGCCATTTTAAAGCATAAATAAACGGCAACTGGAACCCACCAAATGCAAATTTATGTATTTAAGCAAGTACTGTAGATTACATACAATTTCAACGCAAACCCATAAATAGAGGTGAATGACATGGAATGAGTGACATTTCTGCTGATAAGCGTGGAATGCATAGAATTAACCTCAAATTTCCATGATGCGGAAAACATTTGGTGAGTAATCTAGAGCAAATCTAGACCTTATTCTTTAATGCGGAAGTGCACTCAAACTTCTTTTTGTGAACTTCCGATTTAGCCGTCTAGGAGAAATGACTAGGAATAATAAGCGGAAAAAACGGTCAAACTACTTGCTCTACAAACAAGTATTTGCATGAACATACAGACAAAGTAGAATAAAACACTAAAAAAATATCAGTTTGCTACATCAAGCAGCAAAACAAGCTGTTTTTAACGTCTAAAAATCAAAGGAAGTGAATGAGACTGGAGGTCTCGGGCCAAAAAAATTCAATTGGCTGCCCACTCGTACACGGGGAATAAGGTGAAAGATTTCCAATAGCATTATTTTGTAGATATTTTATTTTTTAAAACAATATTTGTCAACTGTGGTTCAAAATGACCAACCATGAAATAAAAAGGCTAAATTAGTCTTATGTTTAAGGTCTTGTTTACATCTGATCAGTTAAAGCAGAGGTGCCCACACTTTTTCAGCATGCAAGCTACTTACAAAATGATCAAGAAAAAATGATCTACCAAATATAAAAATGCAAAACATAAATTTATTTGTAAACATATTGAGAATTCTGCATTTGTACAATATATATTAATGAATCTTGCTTAACTATATGAACCCATATGCCAGTAGCCAACCTGGGGTGTTTTTTTTTCCCTCAAAAAGTGTACTGTTTTGCAAATATACACCCAAATTTCTATTTAATTGTGAAATTGAAATACTGCATTTTAGTGACATTTTAAGCACTATTGTGAATTAGCTTGTCAGATGGTCATCATAACCACATTTTTTGACTGTTTTAGCCAAAACAGTATTCAAATCTATTTTAACATGGACCACTTTTGGTACTTCACACCTTTTTATTGGTCATTTTTTGTTTTAAGAATATTTAATAATTAATATTGCAATATTAAAAATAAAAGTTACTTGTAAAACGTTTTCTCAAAAATACAGTAAAGATGACTTCTTTTACGCCAGATTGTATGTTTTCTTGCATAACTGGATGTTGGACTCATAACTGGATGTTGGAAAAATATTTGTTAGCATTGGCCAAAACTGATTAGCTAAAGTCACACTAAAGCGACAGCCAGTAGAGGATGGGTTTTGATGGGTTATTTTTACCACGATGGCATGGCAGTCAAAATAGGACAAATGAGCTATGTGACAAATTTTGGACCTTTGTCAGTGAGGGGTGGGTCTTCCGAACCCCTAAAGTGGCTGCGAGCCTGCACATTGTGCAATAGCCTACAACTCTGAACACATTTTTGTCATTACCTTACCTTAATCTGATGACCCCATCGATGATAGACTGACATGTTTTTGTTTAATTTTCTGAAACACCACAGTCACAGACATCGGCAGTGGCAGTCTTTTCCTTGATCCCGTGCGCCAGCCTGATCACCTGCCACTGCCGGTGACCTACTCACACCTAGACAGCACAGCAGCTCTGCATAGAAAGTTTGGCTAAAGGAGAAATGGTCGTGCCCAACTAGAACCTTTTTCACAAGGTTTTTATTTATCACTTTCGTCAATTGGTAAAGTTTTGTTCTTCGCCACTGGCTTGCTTGGTTTTGGACTTGTGGATCTGCGCATTGATGGATTTACTCTGTTTGAACTCTCAGCAGGGAATATTAAACCACACTGAACTGAACTAAACTCAACTTCATCTCTGAAAACTGGACTGACACGGTTTTAATTTACTAAAAACTGTTGAGCTATTTTGACACAATTTACATTGTAAAATAAATAGAAATAAACCATGAATTGAAAAAATGTCATGCGATCTGCCCACGCTACCTTTGCGATCAACCGGTAGATCACGATCAACGTAGGATTGGGCACCTCTGGTTTAAAGCATTCAGGCTCCATTTACATCTACATTTAGTGTTAACCCTGAGGATTAAATCGACAAAAACCCATTTTATTACAGACGCCACGCCAGTTAGAAACTAATCTTAAAGGGATAGTTCACCCAAAACTGAATGACTGTCTGTCATCATTTACTCACCTCACCCAGTCACAAACCTTTGTGAGTTTCTGTCTTCTGCTGAACACAAATGAAGTTGGAAACGTGTAATTACTGACTTTTATAGTATTTTCCTACCAAAGATGTCAGTGGTTACTGGTTGCCAACATTCTTCTAAATATCTTTTGTGTTCAACAGAAAAAGGAAACTCATAATGGTTTGGAACCACTTGAGGGTCAGTAAACGGTGAGTAAATGTTTATTTCTGGGTGAATCCTCTCTTTAAGAACTCATTTAAGCAAGTGCTAATCAGCTTTGAGTTAGACCAATCTAGTATTTTATGTAACTGAATCTATAAAGTTAATGTTTAACTCCCTTTTAAGACTATTATAAAAAAGGTTTATGCAACCAAAGTTATAAAGAGGACATGTGGAAATATATATATATATTATTTTTAATGCAACACAAACACACACAGAAACAATCGACCACACATCTACCACAACAAAACAGATTTCTCTTTATTTTGTGTCATAATGTCAAAAACGGAGAAAACCATTACAAAACAAAAATTCTACCTATAACACTTACATCATACGGTAGAACTAAGGGATGGAATGTCACATTTCCATTCACATTTAATAGAAATATTCTCATAAATAAATAAAGTCTCTTTAAAGTCTCTGGAGTGAGGATGCTAATCTTCAACACGTGGCTATGGAATGAAGAGGATCCACGACAGCGAAATATATTAAATAGTCCACAAGAAAGTCTTTTACCATAAGGAATGTGGAAAGGATCATACAAAACTCCCTTTTCCACACACCGATCATCGTTCCCTACAAGAACAGAGTCTTCCCTTGAGTCCTGCAGGTCGTGTGTAGTGTTTGTAGAGCACCTTCATGTTTAGTTGCGTGTCACATCAGTTAATAATTGTGCTACCGTTGCTACAAAGCCACCTCTTCTCAAAAGGTGTGTAGAACGTCAGTGTCTTATTATAAACGTCTCTTTGAAATGCAAACATCGGCGTATTTCCCTTACAAACCTCTCGTAGATGGAGAATAAATGAAGATGAAACTCATCTACAGGGACCGCCGGCCATCTGCGGTTCAGAAAGAGAGGAACTGCGCTCCGCACAAAACAGTCCAGTCTCTTCGGCTCCTGAGGGAATTTGCCCCTCATCTACGCAAGAGCTCCCCCACTTGGGCTTCGGAAAAAGCAGAGCGGGACGAGCAAAGCGTGAGCATCAGCCCCTGGTGCTCAGGGAGCCCACGGTGAGCCTGGCATGGCAAATGCACAATTGTAAAAATCAGACAAGCGCTTTAATCGTTGCTGTGCTCCTCAAGCTGAGACAGAATGCTGATCAGATTCTGCAGGCCGAAGATGTAGCCGCTGTCTCCACCCTCGTGAACGATGCCGTCCTCTCCGTAATCACGGCATGTGGTGTGGGCGAAATCGATCATGCGGACGTCCACCGCAGGTGAAGCGCTGCTAGAGAGATCGTGTCGTCCTGCGTAGGCTGCTCCTTCATCGTCATCATCATCTTCATCCTCATCTTCATCATCCTCCTCCTCTCCGCCACGAGAGGGTCGTGGTCTGGGCGGTGCTGCAGGTGGAGCGCCATCGTAGATGATAAGAAGAGAGGAGGAGAAGAAGCGGTAGCTCTCGCAGGCCTCCAGCACGGCCCTCATCTCTCGCAGTCTCTGCAGGACGGGCGTCAGGAGCTCCCGCCGCAGCACGCGCCCGTCGCTGAAGAACTGGCACAGAGCCTCTTTAAAGCCCGCCAGGCTCAGCTTACGCCCGTGATACTTGTTCATGAATATTAGCTGCCCTGTAGCATTGTGGAACATCTGTTGTGGGAGAAAACAGATCAGAATCAGATTTAGTGAATAAAATATGAAAAATAACATGTACTGTAAAACAGGAGTTCCCAAGCTTTTCAGACCGCGACCCCCAACATAACAAAGCTAGTGACTCGCGACCCCCACATTCCTCGGAGGTGGCTTTAAATATACAAATGTTGCACACATAATAGGCCTATATGGACATGAGCATAATAACAACACAAAAAAGCAACAGTCTAACAACTATAGCTATAATTTATGTCGTCAGTTATTCATTAATTTAACTTAAAATCAACCTCATCTAATGCGACCAGTGGCCACAATGTTTTCAGCACAAGTCTAATCACGGTTTAATTTTGAAGACCGCCACTCAGAGATCATCCTCAAAGTTCAGTTGTGGCCTGTATTCATTTGTAATGTATTTGATTGCTATAAAAGGGTCAGAAAGTTTACCCTGATGCTATAAAATCAATCTGCTGCAGCTGACGCTATTGCTGTTTTGTTAATCTAACATAAACACAAATCAATTAAAAGGCTGATGACTTTATTTGCATGTTGTTGCTTTTTTATGTAACTAATATCTACTATTTTTATCTTCTGTGGGTTATGGATAAAATATGGTCATTCTAATAGTTTCACTTTTGGAATTCACCAAGGGATCCCCTGCCATTGTCCAGCGACCCCCCACTTTGGGAACCACTGCTGTAGAACACCGTAGAATAAGGTGGTCAATAAATTGGGGATTTTTTCTGTAAGAATTCATCTGACCTGTACTTATTAAAAAAGTGATCATTTAGAATTTGACTATATTTTAAATTGCTATAAACTGACAAAATATATAAAATAACAATTAATATGTTATATTTTAAAATAAAATATTACTAAATTGTATATGGCTGAACTGTGATCTTTTATTATGTTATAAATCAATTGCTATTCTAAATATGCTAGACAGAACTTTTGTTAAATAGATTATCACAACACAGATTGACAGTTTAGTATATGCTTTTTGAATAGCGCTATATAAATGTAAGGAATTATTATTATTATCATTAATATCATGGTAAAAATGTGGGATAGCGATTTAGTTTTGCTCAGAAAAATACAGAAGTCAAGACAAAATTATTAGCCTTCCTGTTAAATTAAAATCTTTTTAAAAATATAAAAAAAAATGTCTTGGATTGGCTGGAATAATTATATATATATATATATATATATATATATATATATATATATATATATATATATATATATATATATTGAGAAATGTAAAAACTGCTAAGGTCAATATTAATATCCCCCTTAAAAAAACTACTATTTTTGATCGGCTACAGAACAAACCCCTGTTGTCCAATGATCTGCCCAATTAACAACTGACCTAGTTACTTTAAGCTGAATACTAGCACCTTGCAAAATAACTAGCAACATGTTATGCTGCAAAGTTATTAGAAATGTTATTATAAATGATTTATTAAAGTTATGTTCAAAAAATCATCTCTCTGTTCAACAGCACTGGAGAAATGTTTGAAAAATAAAATCCAATTCATCTGGAGGTTTAACAAGTTTTGCTTTCAACTGTACAATGATCCTAAGTAAATTTAAAGATGCACTACACTTATATTGTATTGTCTTTGACCTATATACAAAAATAAGTGGAACAAGGAACATCAACGGTTTCGAGCTGTTGGGTCTGTTATGTACACTTCAAAACATTTTTGCGGTGTCAAATTATGTGAACAATTTAGTCCATGTAAATAGTGTCTAATTACCTGCATGCCACAGAGGCGTACTCCAATAGAAGATGAAGTGCTTTGTTGGCATTTGCGAATCTGATTGGCTTTCTTCTCCTCAGATGCATCGTCCCCGTGCTGACGTGTTCCCATCTTTAGATCAAGGACACATGGAACCCGGTACCGCCACGTCAGGTTCTCCAGCAGAATGAATTCTAAAAGTGGCCATGAGTCAAGGGGAAAACTCTGAATATTTGATGTGTCTGCATGTCTTATATGGAGGATTTTGCGCTGGAATTCTCATTATTTACTGGTCATTTGAGTGTGTGTTTGTGTGTGAACTGTTTGAAAAGGATACTGTGCTGGTTTCTGTGTTTGGAGTTCTCCTTCATTCTCTGCAGGTGCTGCTGGTGACACTGCTGACTCCAAGGGTTGTGTTTGATCTGAGGGACCACATTTCCCTTCTCCAGACTGTAGTATAAAACCTCGGCCTTATCATCCCGATTACTGCAAAGACCAGGAGAAAGGGTTATTACATTTATTTGTGTTTCAGATATTACTGTAAGAATGTACACTATTACTTAAAATTTTGGGCTCTTTTAAATCTTTTAAAATAAGTCGCTTATGCTCACCATGGCTCCATTTATTTAATAAAAATGTTTTGGACTAAATTGTCTATATTACTTAACACGATTTAAAATACACATCCATCAAATTATCCAACAGAAACCATTCCAATACAGTCTGTTTATTTCTTACTCAAAAATTTTATTGACTTCAGGGTTTCTACAGATTTCACCAAGTTAAAATCTTTTTAAGACTATTATTAATGATATTTTAGGCTTCTACAGGGCTAATTGCTAGGGATTTTTTTCCCGAATATCCCAGTCAAAAAATAAATAAAATAAAATTGTATACATTTAATAATACAATAATAATAATAATATTGTTTGAATGTTTTAAATTAATTTTTTAAATATTTCCATTCACAAACACTATAACCCTTACAAAGAGTATAAGAAAACAGCTGTCAATCACTATGGTCTACAATAATAATAATTTAATAATAAAAAAATATGGTTCAGGTCAGTATCCTCAGCAAAAAAATAAATGGAGAACTTAAGCAAACGTTGCTGTAAGAAAAGCAATGAATGCTTATTTTGAATAAAGAGATTTATAGAGATGGACTTTTGGTGATTGTAAGGGTAATGGCCAGATTGGGTAGCTATACATCAACAAAAAAAATTAAGACCTACAACACAACATTTCAGTAGATTTAGGTCTTTTTAATGCCTGAAATTTAGCTTTTAAAATGTAAGACTTTTTAAAGACCCTGCAGACACCCTGTATCTTAAATGCTGCAAACAAAAATGACTATTTTTTTATTTGTTTATTTAAAAAAAAGTGTTTACTGGCCCATTTTGATCAATTTAATGCATTCTTGCTTAATAAAAGTATCACTTTCCTTAATCCAAAATATTATTGTCCTTATTTGACCTCATATTAAATTGTATTTACAGTGATTAAGGCTTTACCCTCTTATTTTTCACGCCCTACAAGTTTGTTTTGAGCACTCTGTGACGCATAAGTACTATTGACCCATTACATGACTTACAAGTGTGTTTTGGTATAACAAAGCAAAGCGTGAATACTCTGATGAGCCTTCTGATAACCCATCCCATGATGCTCACGTGTAAGGTCAGTAAGCTGAGAGTAGGTGGTTTTCAAATGCTTTCGTACACATAAGCATTTACATTACAAAAGCTATCTGATCAAGTGTGTTCGGACAACCTTGAAACCTGTATTTTGTGTCGGTGTGGTCAGACCGACAAACACAAGTAAGGTGTAAATATTTTTTTCTGACCTCAAACTTGTGCTAACACTTTAGTTTAGTTGACAATTCACAAACCATCAACTAACACTACTAGCTTAATAAACTACTAATTAGCCATTTTTAAAGGGCCAATGAAATTAAAATAAAGTTTTTTACATGTTAGTATCAGTATTGTTAGTTTTTAAGATATCTATAAGCTAGTGTGTTCTAAAACAGTGACAAAATTTGCGTTTAGAAGATAAAAAAAAAAGATCTAAACATGTAAAGCTTGTAGTTTGTCATTTTCGCCTACCGTTTTATTCAGGTCACTGCATACTTCAGTATCTCATCAACTCATAACTAGGGCCAGACAGAATCTGCAGACATTTTTTGCGATTTCTGCTGAAAATTTTGTAAAAAATCTGCAGATTTATGTGGAATCATTTTGGGAGTATCATAACTAAAAACTTAATATATAAAAACAAAAAAATAATACCTTTTAACCTTTTATTTAATATTTACGATGCAAATTCATCTAGATCCACTTAATTGGTAAACAAGCAAGTCTATCATATGAACATTTTCATTTTAGTCAATAATATTTCTGACATTATTTTAAGAACTAAATAAATATAAATGTACACACATTCACACAAGTAAACAAATAGACTCAATGAAGGGCTAAAATCTGCAGAAATTTATACGCGCACAGATTCTGTTTGAGCCTAATCATAACCAATCAAATGCTCTCTAGCATCTGAAATGTCCCACCCCCTTCAAGACGCATCTCATTTGCTTTCCATTTGATGCACTTTGATCTCAACCGATCTCACTGGCAGAGTTGTGATAAGACAAAACACTATTGGGTGTGTTTTTAAAAGGGGAGGAGCTACACAATGTCCAACCCTCTTTTTGTTTTTTAGTTGAGATTACGTCAAACAGGGACCTTTAATAGTTAATAAGATAGAAGTTGGGTTTAGGTTCTAGGTAGGATTAGGGATGCATAAAGTTCATAGTTTATAGCTACTAACAGCTAATATCTTTTTTTATCATGAATTGTGACAAACTAAAGTGTTAGCAAACTTTCAAATATGAAAATATGTGTCCCATATCCTCCCTCACCTTTTGCCCTTCTCTTCTTTGCGGCTCTGTCTGGCTCTCTCGTTGTCTGGAAGCAGGCCTGATGGCTTCTTCTTCCCCCACTTCACAAGCTTATTCTTGGGCTCTCCGTCAGCTGAAGGCTCCTTGTTCTCCAGATCAACTGGATCGCTGTGAAGCGGGTAGGCTATCAAACACAGATTCCCCTCTTCATCTTCCTCAAAACTCACTGACACCACACCTAAAGACAGCACAAGGAAAACAGAAAACAGACAATGAGTGCTTTGGACGTCGTGTTGACACATGAACAACATATGATTCAAATCTGATGAATCATATGATGATTAAAAAAAATTGTGTCTTACCCAATCCGGCTTAAACTGTACTTTAAAAAGCATAAAACAAAAGAGAAGCAGGGGAGGGGGTTGAGAAGGGAATGAATTTGTGTACATGTTCATCACTGTCATGTAAAAGAGTGTTTTGCATGTCTTCTAGTGCTCAGCAAACAAAGACACACACAAAAAAACCACGAGGCAGGAAGGTACAATTCAATGAGCTCTTTTATTACCACTCATTGGACAAACCATGTATAAGATCGCCACATATCAAATACATACGAGAAGAAACAAACGAGTTTGACAGAAACTGCATCACTGAAATTTACAGACAGCAAAAAAAAATTGGGAAACTTCTTTGGTACATTTGGAATACAGATCATAAAACATGACACAAAGCAAAAATACACATTTGCAGAACTAGCATGTGGCCCAAGACATGATTTATAGTGGTATCTCATGATAACCATAGATGAAACTAAGATTTACAGAGGGATTGAGTAGGAGTAGGAGGGTAAAGACAGATAGAAAAAGAACAGCAAAAAATCTTTCAACACTAAATAGCACTAAAACAAGTCATTCTTCTCACAAAATCAAACTGTGTGCAGGTAAAGGTGTGTAAATGTATCAGGCATTAGGACCCCGCGGCCTCTGCAGTTATGGCAGACTGATGACATCAACAGCAGTGATGTCACGTCTCTGCACCAACGCTCACACACACACTTTTCCAAGTATATGCTGAGTCAGAGAATGAGTGGATAGTTTTTGTGTGTTCGTCTTTTATGACGAGTCTGATTAACACACTTTAATCGTCTCTGAGGCCTATATTTGTGTTTTGTAGACGATTACGTTAGTATGTCAGCATTGGAAGTATGCGCAAGCGTGCGAGTGTGTGTGCACATTCTTTCCTACATGTCATATCCTCTCTCACTGACAGCTTTTTTTAGTCTCACACCGCACAGGCCAGTCAAAGACACCGCCAAATACACTCGAGAGATGCCAGGGTGTCTGTGTGCATGAGGACGTTTAAATATATCAAAAGAGCAGGAGAACTGAACATGATATTCCACCTGATGCCATTAGTATAAATCTCCTGAGAGTGAAAAAGTGTTATGGGAATGTGAGAATGGCCATGTGTTTTAGAACTCTGTCTGAGAGTCTGAATGTCTATTTTATGCCTGTTTATGTCATTTAAAACTTCTTTTTAACATTAATCTATCTTATAAATGTATATCTGTTGTTATAAATATCAGTATAACAAGATCTATCTATCCACCTCTCCACTATTTATCTATCCATCTATCTATCTATCCATCTATCCATCTATCTATCCATCCATCCATCCATCCATCCATCCATCCATCCATCCATCCATCCATCCATCCATCCATCCATCTATCTATCTATCTATCTATCTATCTATCTATCTATCTATCTATCTATCATCAAATTTCATGTTAGCATTTATATCTATTGTTATAAATATCAATATATTAAAATCCATCCATCCATCCGTCAATTCATGTTAGCATCCATGCATCTATATCTATTGTTATAAATATCAATATAATTAAATCCCTCCATCCATCTATCTATAAATTCCATGTTAGTATCTATATCTGTATTTTGTTAAATATATCTATCTAACAAAATCTATATATCCATCCATCCATCCATCAAATTTTATGTTAGCATCTTTATCTATCTCTTTAAATCAACCCACCCTTTTAAAAAGCAATCTATAATACATGTAAGTATTCACAAAAACATCAATATATCTTAATAAAACGTATATATCATAGCACTTAAATATAATAACGCTAAAAACTAACGAATCGTCTAATTAGTTTTCATATATAAAAACGTGTGGCCTTGTAATAGGAGTCACGCCATACTAAAGTATGTCAGTGTAACTTCTTCGCATAAATTATATATAGAGAGAGTGTATTATTGAAATTTATGAACAGACAGAGCAAAGAAAAAAGGAGCAAGATAGAAGGAGGAAGTCTGACACACATAAACATAATGTTCCTGATGTGCTCATATTCATAAGCGTCCACTTACCTTTGTACTGTGGTGTGAATTTGCGGATCTCGGGTGGCAGGCTCTTGTAAAACTGGTGTTCTCTGGGTATTAGTGGTTTACAGATGGTCTGTTCCCCAAAGCGCAGCACACAAGAGTGACCGCCGACTTGATGGACAAATGGTTCTAACATCACTCCTCCCTTCATCTCTCCTTTCCCTGGGTATCTACACCCCTCCATCAGCGCTTCTAAAGCCGGACTCATCTTCCGTACACATCCGTCTCTCTCAGGCTGATCTATCGCTGTCTATTTGTTTGTATTTTTTACTCTCTTTCTTATCCTCTTCTGTTGTTCCCTTTTCTGGGGTGGCAGGTCAGGCACAAAAAGGCTGAGAAAACCAAAAGAAGACTGTTAAAACAAAAGGTATTCCTGCTTAAAGGGATAAGGAAAGGGTAATCCAGAAGGTAAAATGTTGTATTAATGTTGTTTTTCTAAGCTTGTGACACAGAGGACAGGCTGTGAGAGTACGTCTGTCCCTGTCCCTGCTGTAACTGAGCGATCTGTTCTAAGCAGGCAGGAAAAATATCACAACAGGACAAGTGGCTCCACCCTCCTTCTGAAAGTCAGCCAATCGGAGATCAGCAGCTGTTGTTGGGTGGGAAGTGAGAAAGGGGAAACTGAACAAACAAAGAGAGAGAGCAAGAGAGAGAGAGAGAGAGAGAGAGAGAGAGAGAGAGAGAGAGAGAGAGAGAGAGAGGTGGGGGATGTTGGTGTTAAAGACCAAAACAAAGAGATGTGAGGTATAAGAAAAGGAAAGAGAAAGTGTTCTCAGCAATTTCCCCCTGCCTGACAAGAAAACAGAGACTCAGTAAAGACATAAAGAAAAAAAATATAATCTGAAATCTCATCTCTAATTTTATGCTTTCCATTAGTCTTGAGAACAGTGGTCAATCGATACGGTTTCTCAAGAATTCATTCATAAAATTTTGTCTTTGGCCACCTTTATCTTAAATGTTTTGTTTACATGCATGGAATTGGCCAGTTTAAAGCTATGGGTGTACAAATTTAAAGGGCTATGAACTGAGAAATCTAAATCTACATGTCTTTTTGACATATTTATCAGATGTCATCGTACCATAAAATATTCTGTAAATTTCAGGACTCTAAATTTTGGAGTTTAAATATAAAAACTGCTTATGTTGAAGTTAAAGTGTGAGCAAACTGCTTTAGTTCCATTAGTTATTGCTAGGGCCAGACAGAATCTGCGGATTTTTTTGCTATTTCTGCAGATAAATATATGAAATAAAAAATAATACAATTTTAACTTTTATTCAATGCAAATCCAATTAGATCCACTTATTTGGTAAACAAAGTAAGTTTCTCATACAATATATCTACTAAAAGACAGAAAATATTATTTTTAAAACTGTCCTGTAAATAAATCATATGGACATTTTCCTATTAGTCAATAATATTTCTGACGTTTATTTAAATCTGAATAAATATACATTAATACACATTTACACAAGCAAATAAATAGACTCGATAAATGATGGGCTAAAAATCTGTGGAAATCTGCAGATTTTTGTGTGGGCCTAGTTATTACAGATTGTTTGATTTATATACTTATTTATATAGTCCATCAATAAAGGATGTAGACCAGAAGGGCTCCAAACTGCAGAGCCTAGCTCTAATTTGCTTCAACACACATTTTGACCTCGCAAAATAATGAATATGCAAAATTGTTATCCAACCAAATCAGGCCGTGTTTACCTAAAGTCAGCTTAATAAAAAGTTTAGATGGTCTTTCTTTCCTTTATCATGACACACATCTACTTGAAACATTTCTGAAATGAGATTAAAAAAAATGTAGAACAAAGTATGATTTCATCGTTTGGGTACAGAGTGGATCAGTGGAAGATAGATGTTGCTAATAAAACGGCGGAAGAATTAAATGCCAGATTATGGTATTTGATAAAAGATTATGAAGGCAAATTCATTTGTACAAAATGCACATATAAATCATTTATAACAAGTATTACTATGTACATGTTAAAATAATAAGAACACATTTTGATTTCAAGCTGACTTTAAGGGTGTACAACCCACCATGCTTATTCAAACAGTGTGTGTGTTCCAAAAAGGGCTTGTAAAATAGCCTATTACTATCATTTTTAAATATTGAGAATGTCCTAAAAAAAAGACAATTGACACTTAAACTAAGCTGTTACAGGCAACACGAACATTTAAACATACAAATGGTAGAAAATGTAAATTCTAAAGCGCAAGTAAAGAGTTATTATATTGGAGTCAGGGGTGGACTTAACCAATAAGCAAGGTGCAAAGCCACTCAGGGTCTGGGGAATTGCCAGTGCCAAGAAGCCTAATAATTATATAGCTCTTTTATATTTTTTAATCATATGTTGTAAAAACTGTGTATAACTGTGGACTTTAACGCTATTACTTATTTTCCGATGCTGATGACAAATGTTTTAGCTCTGCAAGTGCAAGGTGTTTTCCTGGTACAGTCAAACCGATCTGCTTTTTCTGTTTTAAATGTAATAATTTAAATGGATCGTTTATTCTTGCTTGCTGTTTTCTCACAAACACAGAGATCTTAGTGACACCAGTCTGTCAGCGATCAAAGTAGAGGCAGGTAGGGTGCAATAGTGAGAATTTTGAGAACATCTGGGAAAAAACGCTGTGAGCTTGTTAAGAGATCGAGGGCCTGTTCACATAACATTTCCTAGTGAAATGGCCGCCAACAGCAATTAATATTTAATTAATTCATATGAAAAATGGTGAAAAGTTTAGTTTGATGGATTGTGAATTAAATTATTTGAAATGTTTTAATTAATATTACTATTAGATTATTATCACAAAAATGGCTAATTAACTGGTTGGAGTAATGTTTTGGTTACACCAATTTTACATCCAGCCTTGTTGCATTGCAGGTTAAGTAGTTTAAAACGGTTACTGGGCACAAGCTCAAAGCAACTCTCAACAAAGTCACTCAATAATATATCTACGCCTAGCAGCAAACAGTACTGTAATTCATTTAATAATGAGGCATCAGGCTAGAATGACGCTCATGGTTACATAAAACACACGCACACACAAAAATCACCCATTATGACCCTGCATGGGACAATCGGACGACCATGGATTTGCACACAAACCTCTGCGTGCACACACACACAAAGTAATCTGCTCTGAGCCATTTCCCTAGACTGGGATTAATGTGTGTGATCAATGAGCACTGGGTGAGGACTCAATCCTAATCCAGAGCAACAGACACAGATTATAATCTGTCTAGTGACAACCTCTGAGTAAATACACACAGTCAAACTCAGCAGACAGAGAAAATCTTTTAAAATCACACACTTCACCTTTTTATCGTTTAAATTCTGACTCAATCTATCCTCACATAATCTGCCACATGCATTAAAAAAGAGATTATCTGTTGTTATTTTTCTATATATAACCTCACTGTCTTTAATCTGCATTAAAATATATGCATTTTATAACTGCCGTCAATCAGTATTTGCGCTTTAAAATAATCCTTTTTGATTCAAAAATATGTTTGAGAGTTTTCTGTGGCAATGAAATATACCTTTAGATCTGAAGCTGACAGGATTGGTCAAACTGTCGGGTAATGACCTAGGCTTGATTCATTTTTATTTTAACGTTGGATTTCATTGAATTTTTTTAATAGCATCACTGATATTTATATTTAACTTGTATACATTTCAGCATTTTTTGGAAAAAAGTTTATAAATAATTATATCATTTGGCATTTATCCAAATACAGAAATCCCTTTGCAATAGAAGTCATGATTCACATAATAAAATACAAAACAAGTATTCCAGAAAATTCTGTATAGGGAATAAGGAGAAGAATGACATCAAAATATTTATTTTTTTTGTTGAAAAGTCTTACATATTAGTAAATCCTTCAATAAATTAATGTGTAATTTCTTCTATTCTGTGGTGACTGGTAAAACACAAAAGCTGTCAATCCAATGCAAGTGTCTTTAAATAAAGTGAAGGCCTGATTGGTCTTTACTACCCACAATACCCACCCACCATATCAAAGGTCCTATTCTATTGGTTGAAATTACTAACAACATTATTTAATGTTGTAAAAGACTATATCATTATCGTTATTGTAACACGATCACATTCTGGATGTCATATAAAGCCTTAAAGGGAACCCATTTTACCTTTTTTACAAGATGTAAAATACGACTTTGGTGTCCCCAGAATGTGTCTGAAGTTTCAGCTCAAAATACCCATCAGATTATTTATTTATTTGTAGAATCTGCACATTTTGGTGTCTGATCACAACGTAGCTGTTTTTGTAGCCAGTTGCTTGAAATCCATATGAGCTGGTTCTCCCTTCCCACAGCTGTGACGTGCATGTCTGCTTCTCATGCACTACGTCAGATAAACAGCCGTCAGTGGTAGAAGTAATTGATAGAAACAAGGTTGTGAGTCAAAAATACCAAATAAGTTTATTTGACGTATTTGCAGTGGTGTTTATTCAAGCCTTTCTGAAACGATGAGTCTCACATAAATGCAGTTTGCAGTACACGCGCGCACGTTTACTGACACGATGCGGCCATGGTGATTATATCGGTTTTACTCTATCACAAACATGCACTGTTTTAAAAAATGTTTTAAACTTGGAAAATTAATTATTGAGGTGCAGCTGATCACAGAGACTTGGAACAGATATTTTTATTTCAGTTTCTTTGCAAAAATGGCCTTCGGACATGTGTATACATATTATTATGGAGACATGGCACCTGTCAATCGATTTGGTGGGTGGGGAAAACTACACTGCAATGTCACGTTGCGGTGGCCTTAAAATCACTGGGATTTGGATCCTATTTTAACATCAGTACATTTTAAAAAAAGAGACTTGTTGTGTTTCTATCACTCCAGTTGACTGTGGACACACTATACCTACACAGTTCTCTCCAAACAGTGTACAAAAGTTGATTTTGATTGTAGCTGCCCTTTAAAGCAGCAAATAATGCTGCTCTATGGGTTATCATGATCCTTTTTGTAAGTGAATAACAAGTGAAGCAACAAACCAAAATTTGAATCAAAACCTGCATATTCTTCAAGCTACACCCGAATTTTGTTTTTTGCTGCTTGTTTAAATTACTAAATATGTGTCGAACCAACGCATTTCTAGTGTTTTTGGGAACAACCTAATTGCTTTATGTTCAATCCACTTAAATTTGTAAAAATTATTAAGTTAATCTAATCGATTTGTTTTGGGACAACATGAAGGACTCCAGCATTTTTATAATGTACCTATTGTTGTAGTTAATTATGCTTGTTTTAATGGTGTTGTTTGTTGCATTTATTTTCAAGTAAAGTCCTATTTTGATGTTCAGTTTTACATATTTTCGTGCTCATATG